TATGATCAAACTTTTTCGATCATGGCATGCCTTTCTTTGTCATTGCCTATGTCCATAGAGGTTTGGAAGGCAGATCCACCAATCAACTTTGCTTTTCCAGTGCGCCAAATCATCGTTGATTCAGCAGCAATAAGCAAATAGGTGAGATCGATGAGGGACACGTCGTGGTGTATCATATAGTACTCTCTTACGAACTCACTATATGAGTCAGGAAGCGACTGAAGAACCCGGTCAACAGCCAGCTCCACACAGACAACGGCTCCCAACATTCTTAACCTATCGATGTGTGACTTCATCTCTAAGACGTGTGCACACACTGACTTTCCTTCGTCATGTTCACTTACAAAAAGGGCTTGAGTGAGTTTGAACTTTTCAAGTCTTTGAACTTGTAGGTTAGGGAGAACAATAGGAGGAGGTGGAGGAAGTGAAGCATGATCTCGTGTTCCTCGATCGAATCGTGGAATATCATCTTCATGTGGAAAGCTTGTTCCACGGGATTTGGGAAGACCATACTTGTCATTCTTTGACATCTACAAAAGGGGAGAAAAAAAATTCAAGTTAGTTGATTGATTGAGTCCTTAATAAATCACGCAAATGAGATATTAAGGCTAGGACCCAACACAATACTCTACAACTTCGTAGAGGGATGCATAACCTAAATTGCAGAACATTTGAAAGTAAGTGAATGACGATTCACTAATTTTCCACCATGAAAAACGAGAAAGAGATTAAGTTTTAAATGTATTGAAAACTCCTAGATCCTATGAGATTCATTGAACTTTTCAATGACATGTTTAAATCTCGATATGCCCCTCGATTTGTGTCTGGGATGCCGAGGATCACAAAAAAGGGTGTGAATAACCATGTAAACTTACATGGTTCCCCCAATGTTACAGTCACATATTCGATGTGTCAGTTAACCACACACGCTCCACCGGACCACGACAAACATCGAGGCACCCTTCGCAACCTTTGCTTAGAACCCATTTAGTGTGCCGGTTAACCACACACGCTCCACTAACGTCTTTGCAAGGGTACAAAGAGTAATTTCTTAGAATTTCATCAACTCACTTTTGCCTAAAGTAACTAAGATTGGGAATTTTATAAAACATTTAGTTACTTTAACATTCATTATACTTTTAATGAGGAGAGGGTTTGCCCTATCCTACCCGTTCGGCTAACGACCCTCTACCACCGAAGGAAGCGGTGGGTGAGGGTGGACACCCATTAAATGGCCATTTTATAGGCCATAACCTTATACCCCCCCCCCCTTATAGATAAGCTTCGTGAATGAGGCCTACTAATGGTAAGACTAGCAGTTTAAGTTATACATATATAATATTAGACTTTTAATGTTATATGTAGTATAATGGTGTATTTTACACTTTTAAAATACTAGATGGTCTAATTTAATAAATTACACTTATAATTTACCTAAATGTAAACCATATCACTATGGATTTAGTAACTTTGTTTTAATTATACACTTAATTAATTTAATAAAACCATATGGGTGCAATTTAAACTTTTCAAATAACTAGGGTTTTAGAATTTAAATTTTTTTTCCAAAATTAAACCTTTAATAAAAAAATTAAACTCCAAAACATGAGGACAAGTTTTAAAACTTTTCAAATCATTAGGGTTTAGAATTTAAATACTTCAAAATTAAACTTTTTAATCAAAATTTAAATTCCAAAACTTGAGGGCAAGTTTTGAAACATTTCAAAACTATCAAGATCAAAAATAAAAATAAAGCAATTAAACAATTAATTGGTGATTATCTAGTTTTTTACCTAATCCAATTTCATGCAAGATAATTAACCAAAAAATTAAAATAAATTAACATTTATCAAATAGGGTAACAATTATCTAACTAGATGACCAAAACCTTTTAGTTTGAAAAAGATAATCATAAGGAATCAATAAATTTCGTATTTTATTAATTTGAAACAATTATGGCAATTATCCTAAGTCAAAATAGGCAAAAATTCGAAAATCCATCTGTATGATAGCCAGACTCGTCGAGTCACTCCCTGGACTCGCCAAGTTGGGCTGACTCACCGAGTCCAGATACTGACTTGCAGATTCGGGTCGGGCAGAGGCTAGAAACTTGATATTCAGCAGATAAACAAGCATTACATCACATACAATAGAAACCAATCATGTCTCTGATACCACTGATGGGTTTTGGAAAAAAGAACATCTTATGTGCTCATGCAAACCCTAAAACTTGGATCTACGTTTCTCTATTGTACATGTGCACTTCAAAAATATCATATAAGAAAAGATCTAGATGATTACCTCTTTGATACCGGCTTGAATCTTCTTGTCTTGGTGCTTAGAGTCACAAATGTCACTCCTCTAATGGCTTACAAACACCATAAGCAAGAGAATGACTTATGAGAAGGAGGAGGAGGTACCAAAAACGTCTAGGGTTCTCTTAGAAGTGTTAGACATGTTTTTGGTGCCTTAGGGGTTCCTTATATAGGTAGGATATTAGGGTTTTCAACTAGGAAACCCTAATTTGACTACTTAGGCCCTAAGCAGCCCATGGACTTCCTTTAGAGCACCCCTTGGACGATTTCTTTATGGGCTTCCCATAGAATTCATCCAACCTATGTTGCAAGGTGATCCATAGCCCAATTACAATTATCTTATAATTACAATTCCAGTCCCCTAAGTTTAATTAATGTTTTTTAGTCACAAAACTAACTATCAATTAATTCTTGACTAATATTAATTAAACAATATGATTTCTCCTTTAATATATAATTCATATAATATATTAATAAATCATAATTAATCCTTTTTCTCCATAAATCATCTATCAAGTTGCTTTGTCGAAGGCAACCCAAAAGGTCAATGCACAACCGGGTCAAGTACATACCAAATATAGTTAAGGGCTTAGACACTAATCCAACAAGTCTTACTGTTAGTAGGCCTCATTCACGAAGTTGGTCTATAAGGGGTATCCACTCTTACCCACTACACCCTTGACCCGTGGAGGGTCGTTGGCCGAACGGGTAGGATAGGACAAAAACTTCCATTAAAAGTATAATGAAATACCAATTGGTCAGTTATTGTAGCGTGTGTGGTTAACCACACGCTAATGTGGACTAATGAATGATCGAAATGGGTAGCTCGTAGTTTATGATATATATCAATGGAGTGTGTGTGGTTAACCGACAAATTTATTAGGTGATAAATGACTTCGAGAGTACCAAGCTAATTTGCATGGTTATCCTCACCTTGCTTGTGATCCTCGGTATCCCAGTCAGAAACTTGAAGGGCATAATCGAGATTAAACATTCCATTGAAAAGTTCAATGAATCTCAAAAGATATAGGAGTTTCATTTAAAACTTTCATTTTTGTGGTGGAATAGTAAATCGTCATTTACGTACCAACAAATAGTTTGCAATTATTGTGTTGGATCCTAGCCTTAATATTTCATTTGGGTGTTATATTACGTACATAAATAACCTTAACTTGAATTTCACTGTTGTAAATGTCTCGTTATGGCAAGTATGGTCTTCCCGAATATTTTGGAAAAATATTTCCTCATGAAGATGATGTTCCTAGAAATCATACTTCACTTCGTCCTCCTCCTCCATTAATTCTCCCTGACCCACATGTTCGTCGACTTGAAAATTTCAAAGTCACTCAAACCCTATTGGCAAGAAAACACAAAGATAGAAGGTCTATGTGTTCATATGCCTAGGAGATGAAGTCACACATTAACAAGCTGGGAATGTTAGGAGTCATTGTCTCGAGGAAGTTTCCTATTGACTTGCTTTTTCAGTAAATTCCTGAGTCATATAGTGAGTTCATTAAAGACTACTATACGACAGACCACAATGTGACACTTATTGATCTTACTTATTTGCTTATTGCTGCTGAATCAGAAATGATTTGGCATAATTGTTAAGCAAATTTGATTGGAAGATCTTTTTTCCAAATTTCCATGGACACTAACAATGGAAACAATGGAAGTCCAGAAAAGTCTTCCCAATGGAAAAGGAAAGACTAAGTTTGAGATTTCCCTATTTGCCATTCCAAAAGAATCTGTTTTGGATGCGAAGCTATTATATTTACCTGAAAGACCGCAAGGATGGTAAAGTCAAAGTGTTTGACTCTGCTTCAGGTAAGTCCACTATCTAACTCTATTAAGTTCCTATCTCTAGATTCATAATACATGATGTGATAAGATTATATTTTGACGTTTTGAAGGATCGAAGAAGAGAAAAAACCTTAAAGAAAGAGCAGGCTGGTATGATCACGAACATATGGATTTCGATCGCATGATTCGATGATCAGAATCGAGAGCTGCTACTTAGGAGTTATGATAGATTGCTTAGGAATATTTAGAAACATAGTTTTTCGTATGTACTTACATTGTAATGAAAAGTTTTCCATATTTCATAAATAATTGTTTTTTGATTTTATCTTATTTTATATTTCCTTGCAATCACATTTGTGAAAATTGATGTTTGTATGTTTGTATTTTTAGCAATATGGAATTGATTCTTTCGTTTGTGGTAGTGTCTAAATTTACCAAATAACACTACTAGAAAAATAGCCTTTTACGACGCGCAATCAATGACACGCGCTGATAGAGGACACACATTTGTACGTGCCCTAAAATTTGATGTTAGTTTTCCAAAATATGAAGCATAGAGAACGCACATTTTTTGCGTGCCCTAAAATTAGTGTCTAATAAAAAAACACGGAGGGCACCTTAAATAAAATGTGCGTCGTCTCACCATGTCGCTTTATAAATTTTAATGAAACACGCGTTTCATCCGAGGGGGAAATGAAATCCAAAAATTAAAAAGCCCGCTTTGTTTCCACCAACTGAAAACCCTAGCTCATCCCAGCTGAAAACCCCCTTTCTTTCCTTCTTTATTCTCTCTCGATTCTCAAACCTCCATTCACCTTCCGCCATCTGCTGCTTATTCGACCCTTCCTAGTGTCTCCCACCATCGTTGACTTCCGATGAAAGATGACGGTTCTCGGTGCTCTGCCTCTACAACGATCGACAATCTTACCTGATCACCTCGCCTCACCTTATCGGCTACATCACCTTGCCAGCAACCTCACCTTGTCGGCAACCTCAGGTCTAGTGATCTCATGCTCGCTTCTCCTTGTAGGCGACCTAAGCCCCGTTACATTGATCCATCCTCCCAAACTTTGGAAGAACTAGCGCTTTTCCTCGGACTACACAAAATCTTCTTAAAAATCGGACCAGCACATCCAACAAATCGATTGCAAGTACCTCGCTTCATAGATGCGTCTACATCTCAGCTTCTAGGGCTCGAATCCATATTTCCCCATGTCAACACTCCATCACCTGTTTACTTAGCTTACTAAAATCATCAATCTCGTAGATTTCAGTTACAACTACCCTTCAATATGACGTCTTCAATCGATTTGGTAAAGGGTAGGCTTTTAAATGGATCGAATGAGTTCAATCATTGATGGAGGTTATTCATGTCGTCCACAGGTAAGCAATCCCTTGATCCGACCTAGTTGTTTTAAGATTCATATTTTCTTTTTCAATTGTGATCGTATTTGAAATGATCAAATAACCTTCAATATAATTGTCTTTGGAGGCCAATCACATTTAGTTACAATTGTGATTCATATATTTTTTTCAATTGTGATCGTAGATTTTAGTTACAAACAGCCTTCAATATAGTTGTTTTAAGATTCATATTTTTTTCAATGCCTCGGGAAGTAGTCTTACAGTTTCCTCCATAATCATCCCTAGGAGATTCATTGGCGATTGGGTGGTTCTTCAATTCCGGTTCAATTAGTTGAAAATTCAACTTGTTAGCCGTGATCAGTTAAATTCAACTTTCTTCAACAACTTATCCATTTCCAAGAGTCTGAACCCTTAATGACGTATAGAAGAGCATCTGGATGGATTCTAGGTTATATTAGCTTAAGAAAACTTAGAGAGAACATTAGATGTTTTTTTTCTTTTTACCATATATATCGAATTTGTTTTTGTTAGGAAAAGAATTCTAACAATTCACAAAAGCGCGAAAGAAGTCTGAAAAGCATCGGTGAGAATTGTTATGAATGTTTTAGTTTTAACATTAAGAACACCAAAATGTGTTTGTTAATATTAATTGCATAATCTTTGACTTATAGGGTCACTTAAACAAAAAAGACCAAGTGAAGTGCAGCATCCAGTGAAAGTTGTAGGAACGGAAACGTCTAGGCAGTTAAGAATCAAGTTTTTAATTGCTAATATTTGTTACCTTCTTTTAATTAGCATATAATATTTAATATTTAAGTGTTTATAAATACATCTGCTTGTTTTGAAATGTGATAGAGTTGTTACCACGGTTGCCGATGTGGCCCCCCTGCTAATTGGGTGAAAGTAAATGTGCGCGAAACTAAGTGTATTGTCACATCACACCATTGACATTTATAAAAATTATTAACACACATTCTACATATGTTTACTTTATGTGTTATGTACAGAAAGATTGCTTTGAAGTGTATGCCCTAGTTCCAAGGCTTCTACGGGAAGAGGTATGTAATATATATGTTGATTATAAATGCTCTAGCTTTATTTTCAGCTAAAATGACTTATTTGTCCTCAATGACTTTTAGGTACGAGTCCAATTTGATCCAGCTGGACGTCTAGTCATCATGGGTGGGTCAACCCGAGCAGCTTGACAACCTGTGGGGCATTGTTGCTTTCAAAAGGGTATGTTGATTATAATGTATAAATAAATGACTCTCTGTGTTTGTGTTATGTGAAAGTTATTGTGTTTGACTTTTGACTTATAATAATAAACAGGTGATTAGCCTACCATCTAGAATTGATCTGCTTTGTACATCAACAATTGTGAGCTTACATGGATGTCTGTTGGTTGCTGTGCCTTTTGAGCAGTCAAACTTCTGATCTGATGTTTTAAACTGAAACATCAAGAATTGATCTACTATGTACTTCATTAATCATACGTATTAACATTATAATAAGTAGGTGATTAGCTTACTTCCAGTTTTGGCTACACTTACATCTGTCTCCCCAAAGCTGCCTCTTGGTTATCTAGCCAGGTCACACTTTGAACTTTCTTCATATTTAAGATGCTAAAGTGGTAAATAGACAGTGGTTTTCAATTTTTTTATTTATTTTTGTGTCTAGATTATCTTTCATAGAGGCCAAGAAATTGAGTAACCCGCCTCTATACCCGGTGAGTAGTCAGTCACACTCACATCATTCCAATGTTTCTTTAAATTAATTTTTTTTCTAGCTTTCAGAAATTCAGTGACCTGCCTCTTATCATATTCCTTTTGAAACCATCAACTTTTGTCCATCAATCTTTCCAAGACTACAATGTACAATCTGCTCCAATCAAGCCTTAATGTTGTTTCGTTTGAGATTATCTTTCCACTTATGATGCTAAATTAAATAAATCAATGAAACACCCATTTCTAAACATTGTGCAAGTCGACCAAAAATGTATATAGGGAATAAAAATGCAAAAAAATAAAATAAAAAGTCGATATTACAATTACACAGAGCGACCAAAAGTGTAATTAGGTCTTTCTTTACTATACTACCAAACAATTTTGTTTCTGTTTTTCAGGTTGCTGGACTTGCTATAGTTTATGTTGTTTGTTTCACTTCAAGTTCAGTTGTTGCTTTATTTACAAATATACCCGTATGTATTTTTGTGATTAATTCATTCAGTCATTTTCCTCAAGATCTTAATTTAATGCATTCATTCATTTTCACAGGTTTTGTATCATTGTGAGTGGCGGGGAATTGGAGGACTCTATGCCTCTCTTTTACTCATTCTCTACCACTTCATAGGTAAATTAAATTATATTAAATAAATCAATCACCATTTTTTCTTCTACTTTTTGTTTTATGAAATTAATTGCTTTGTATTTTGATGATATTGCTAAATTGGGTGGAATTTTGTAATAATAAACAAATGAATGAAAGTACGTTGCTATTTTTTTTGGATATTTAACCCTAATCCATAGTTTCATCATGCCGTGTTTGTCCAGGTTCATCCATACCTTCAGGTTATGTGTTATGGGTAATGAGAGAATTGCCACCTTTGGTTGCGGTTAATGTTCCAGAAGAATCTAGAACACTTGCTTTTGTAAGTGACTATTCAACTACTATAACACAACCACAACATTGTACCACTATTACAACTGCACAAAATCAGGTTCAAATGCTTTCTATATCTTAATCTGTATATATAATAATCATTAATGTTCTGGAAGAATCTACAACACTTAGCTTTTTATTTACCTGGTACAAATCATCTTGATTTGTGTAAAAGAAAAAAAATGAGAACGTTGACTTTGACTTTTAAGTGCAGGGATCAAGGGCAAGCCAATATGTCTGAAGTTGACCAAACCATATTTAACAACCTACTTGCTCGAGAGTCAAAAAGTCAATGAAGGCCGAGCGCAAGTACAAAAAACTCAAGACCGATTCGTTTTTTTGTTTATTTGTTTATTATTTTATTAGTTTACTTCATTTGTTGATTATTAGCACTATCTATTGTTGAAAAGTAGATGATTATGGCAGATTTGGAGGTACAATGAAGGCGATAGTGTTGTGCAATATTGATTGTTTCAAGCCCACGAGTGCAATGGGGGTGGAAGCATCCACCACAGCAGTTATCATCTTTTGTCTCCAATCTGGTTCGTGCTCCTCAGTATTATATTTCTACAGTTTTGTAGTCCACAAATCTTTCTCTGTTTTTAGTTTTTAAACTAATTTATGTTCCTGTTTCTTTAACAGAATTAGACCTCAAAAGATATCTTGCGAAAAGGTGGAGGGCAAAATCGTCATACACGGGATACCTCTGTGGACATGGATGGGAACATCGCAGATTTAGAGAAGCCTCCAAAAGCACCTGTAAGTTACTATAAAAGCTTCTAAAAATGAGTTTTCTGACAGATTTATAAATCTTGTCACATTATTTTCTGTTCTTAAATTATCAATTTTTTTTTATTGCAGCCCACGAAGTGTGGTTTTGGTTTTTGCCTCTTTAAGAAGACCACTGGTACTCCTTAAATTATCAATTTTTTTATTGAAGTTTTACAAATTAGGTTCCAAGGGTACTTGTTTTGTCACCATATTGAGTTCAATGAACGTTAAACTTCTAGTCTCTCGTATAGGTTCTCATTCAGAAAGTCTGTTATGCACCCTCTTCAGTCACATATTTTTTGATAGGGGTAGTTTGGGAAATCATCAAATAAAGAGAATCTTATTAGGGCAGGGGAATTTTAGTCATTTTATATTAGTTAATTCGTTATGAAAGATAGTTTGGTTGATTCTCTTTCCCACTAACCTCTTATACCATCTGTTATAACAAACTAACTAATATAAAATGCCTAAAATGACCCTAATGTCCCTGATTCTCTTTACTTGATGATTTCCCAAACTACCCCTACCTAAAAATACATGACTCAAGGACACTTTTCTAGCAAACTAAACAGCATCACCAATCATGAAAACTGCATCACAAAGATTAGCATCAACCTAAAGTCCAGTATAAGTAGTTCCAATCAGTTATAAAATGAAACAAATTCTTTGAGTTATATGCATCAACCTAAAGTGTATTCTGGTTAGCAATAAGTTTGCTATTTACAAAGTTAAGAATCAGCTCATATCTGTGTTGACTGCAACATTTACTCCACTCACCAGTGATTCTGTAGTGCCCCTGTTGTCCTTGCTCTAAGTCCAGCATAAGTGGTTCCATTCACTGTTTTCCCAATCACCTCCTGGAAAAAAGTTCAGCAACTCATCATCAGAATCAGATTAAAAACAATACTGCCATATAAAAAATATCTATAATAAAAACAATTTCAGATACAACAGCTGAATCAAGACTTGAAGTTGCACTATATCCTCAAGAAACAAGTTAGAATGTCAATTCACTTCATTTTCACTTTCATTTTGTTATTGATTTTCCCTTATTTTTAATATAAAATATTGTTCTTAATTCTGATTGTATGTTTTTGACAAATGGAGATTCCATATTTGGATGAATGGGATCAAAATGAAAAGGATCACTCCATCTCCTTAGGTGGGGCTGTTAAGGATATGGAGTCTAGCTCTCTCCATCTTCTAGTTTTATGTGGTGCAAAGGTATGATCTTCAAATTTTAATGATCTTCAAAAGTAAAACTGTAAAAAAATATTTGTTACACTCATTGATTTCACAGCCAGATGTTGATGTGATGCAGAGAATATCAGGTCTGGAGCAGCTGTTGATGTGATTCAGAGAATATCAGTCTCCATATGCTCTTTAGTAACTAAGGTGAAGTGGAACAACTAACTATACATGAAACATTTTATTAAAACGGTTTTATAACTTTGGTGTGATATTATATTCGGGAAAATTGATTGAGAAACTTGAGGAAAATGGTGGAGAATTGCCATCTTCAGACAACTCAATTAAGGAAGATCTATCAAGCTTGGTAACAAGTTTTTTCTTTTTCTTTTTTTAATTTCTTTTTGTTGTTAATATATTAGTCACCAATTAATATATGCATTCTAATGATGTGCAGACTATACACCTTTTCCTTTATATCAAAGAGAGTCATGGGATCGAGAAGGCTTTTCAATTTCTCAGCAATGTATGGGTTTTAATTAGTACATTGATAGCTATTGAGGTTTTGTTCTTTTTTTTTAAAGATCGAGTGTTGACTGGATAAATGATGTTTAAAAAATGTATACAGATACATAAATTACGGGTGGAGTCAGGGGAGGAAGATGCACGTGTGCTTCACCATGTGGAAGGGGCATCTGATTGTTGAGGCATGTATTGCAAGAAATTTGAGACTATACTAATGAAGAAGATCATACATGGCTATTCAACTGCTATAACTTTCCGATATATTTTGGAAGGTCCGCATCCTAGAAACAACAAGACAAAAATTGAGTGTACTAATCTTGTTGGATTTTTGCTTGATAACCATTACCCTGAGGTATATAACTACATATGATAGTCCTTTCAATTAATGTGTCACACTCGCACACCTTATAGGCTTATAACTGAAGGTTGCTCATGCTTTCCATGATTATGGTGCAGATAAGTGGACAGATAAAAAACCTACGAATTATTGCAAATATAACAGCAGAACGGGATGGTGAACGTAGAAAGGCTGCACTAAATTGTTTTGCCTCTGGTAATTATAAGATTCTTGGTATGCTTAAGTTTTCTTATGGAGCAGATTTATGTAGAAAGAAATTAATTGTTCTTTTTTTTGGCTGGAAATGTCGAATCTGATTACAATTTTGATTTAAGGTGTTCTTTAATAGCAATGTAGTATGATAATAAATTAATGTACATAGTAGATTAGATGCAAATTTATATATTGTAAGAAATAGAATTGTATGACATTAAATTTATGCAATGCCTTCTATTTTTTGTATATGATATTTTATTTTCTTTTATGAAACATTAAATACAAATTTAATTTGAAATTACGTAAATCTATAAATAATATTTTTTTTAAACATTTAAAATTATGATACGCAAAAATGTGTGTCATCTTCATTTATGACATGGCCTTTCTTGACAGGGGCTTTCTTGATACGGATTGCGTGTCATTAACACGCGCGTCGTAAGGTTATGACACTCGAATGAGTGTCGTATTCCTTTATGACAGGGCCTTCCATGATACGCATTGCGTGTCGTAAATGAGCGTCGTAAATGCGCGTCGTCTATAGACAACGCACAAAAGCGCATCGTCTCTCTTTATGACAGGGCCTTCCTTGACGCGCATTTGCACGTCGTCTGAGCCTTTTACGACGCGTAATGAGCGTCGTAAAGGCTGTTTTTCTAGTAGTGTAAGGAAAGATTATCATCAACAAATTTCAATTGGACCAATTTGGAATCATGCAACTTGTATTGTATGATGAACGAGAACCTTCATCTTTTGGGAAATTAAGACTAATTCCTTGTTCACATATATATGTGAGTCAAGTGAAGGACTAGGGGATCTACTACACACTATTGTGCACTGATCAGGTCCACCACAAATAACAATAAGTCTATTCATCACGATTTACTATGAGTTTAGTGAATATAATTATGCTTACAAGATTAAGTGTAATCATGAATCATTGAAAAATTTTCAATGTATATTAGAACGAATAAGAAGAATTAATTAGGGAAAAATACAAAAGTTTTTCCAATCTGAAAGGAAAAGAGAGTACTCTAGTATGGTGTTTTATGATCATCCTAATGATTATGGAACCATATCACGATTGATCCTCTAATGACATCTTAGTAAATTTGTATGGATAAGAAGAGGAATCAGGAATTGTTGAAATGGTTAAATCATTTAAGGAGAGTCATACTTCATTCCAAAATCAAGTCTTAGAGTCATACTCCAAGATGGGTCCTTGAGTGACATGTCTTAAGTAGGTTTATAACACATTTGAAATTGGTAGTTGTGATGTTTTAGATAAGACAAAGACCAACTAAGACCAATTACATGAAGTGTCATTCTTGATAAGAACCCGCACTAACTCATGAATATTTGTTTTTCAAGGAATCTTTCTTGATAGAGAATCTTATATGTCAATAGGTCAATGGGAGTCTTAAAGACCTTGAAAAGTTTCAAGAACTAATCAAGAATAAACTTATCGTTTATCACTAACACACAACTTGAGGTTTGTAACCTATTGTGTTGACATATTCTTATTTCTATGCCCGTTCCAGTTAAAGTTGGCTCTGCATGTGAGTTCTATGAGTTCTCAATTGTTTGCATCAGGCAATGCACTTTGATCAGTGAAAGTTCATTGTTCAGTAAGGGTGATCCGCTCAACAACTTGGCAATAAATTAAGATTGAACAAGTTCAGTCCATATGAGTTGGAATCTGCCATATACCTTATCTAATGATAATGGTTGGAAATGATAGTTTCATGTGGATAGGAACACATACACCATAAAATCTAAGTGACATAAGGTTTCTCTCCGCTTCATGAAAATGATTGTGAAGAAATAATTTCACTAAGAAGGTTTTGAGGAGATAGTAGTTGTTTTAATTGCGTTCTAAAATTCGATTATGATTACAATATCCCTCTTCATAGTATGAATTATGAGAAATGGAAAATAGTTTGAACATTCGGGACTTATTGTTGTATTTTCTGAAATAGTTTAGACACATATATGAGATTTCTAATAAAAGGTGTATGAGATTAGATAAAGGCTTATCGAAGCATCTTGTATCATAAATCTAAACATTGGTAAAAAAGTCAATAAGTATTGATTTCTAGAAGTCCAGCTGATTTCTGAGTACATGTCAAAGCTAGTGGGAGCATAAGTGTTATGCTAGTAGGAATATAATTATCATGGTAGTAAGAGCATGATTATTATGTGAAGTGTTGCAAGTTAGCAATACTAGTTATAGGAAACAAAGATTAAGAATTTTGCAAAATTTGAAAAGTTGTTTTCCTATAAGTAAGGGAGACAATACTTATACCTCAGTTTGATTCTGTAAGTTTATATTGAAATTAAACTTATTCATAGTCATATAAGAATATCATGCTGAAAATGTTTCAACATACGAAATTTTATATATGGGAATATTTTACCAAAAGACCGGTTAGGTATCATGTCTTTATGTAAGACATTATGAATCGTATCCCATATGCTTCTGATATAGGATCGATTTCATATGCTATAATATTTGCTCATTCTTATTTTGCAAAAAAGGACTAGAACCAGATATGACTAAAGTTACTAAGCAACTGTCATGGACGATCTAAGGTTCGCTAAGGATTGATCGCTTGTAGTTGGAAGTGTAGTAATGGATGGACCATACTAACATTATTATGAATAGACATGATTCTATTTATAATGAGTTGTCATATGGCATATATGGAAATGTTTCCATAATGGAGATGGATATTAAGAATTTATTTATGCAAGCAGGATGTTTAAATGAATGTACTTTGAATTTGAGACTTCGCTTCCTTGGAATTATTTTGTTATCAATCTCCAAAGGAATACTTTGTAATATCATTGGCAAAGTCT